TATTTTCCCTCAGAATAAAATTCATATTCCATCCCTCCCATTAAATAACCTCTACATATCACACATACATTTTTAAAATGCTACTTGGAGAAGTATTAGTACTCATTATAGAATTTCTGATCTAATTGTGCCATCTTCACTTTCTCATATTTCTAAGGGGTAGGGGTCAACAAAGCCATATTTAAAATTCCAAATAGTATTGTATCATTACATTCTTTATATTACAATTCCCCACATAGATTGGAAATAATTTTAGATTACTTCTTAAAGCAGTATTGGTACCAATTATTTCTCTGAAGCTGAAACAATAAAGTTGGCGAGACTAAAAAACGAATGAAAATATGCTTATTTATTACTATAAATTGTGTTTTTGTTAAAACCGATCAACATATCTCTCTATAACTTTGGGAAACACTTGACTACAGTGCTAGCAATATAATATCTATAAATCAGTGCTATAGTTAATGTATAACTGATTTTATAGAATGATAATATAGTACCCCCCTGAAATATTATTCTAGGGGGGTAAAACTGCTCAGAATCCTTCGTCCACAAACTAAAAAGACCCAGACATATATGAATTGATGCTAAATGAAGTCATCTTTCAGAAACATTATGTCTATCAAGTGGCCCTTGGACTTCCCAAAACCCATGCTATATCCTGGCCTATAACTTGATGCCATGATAACGTTTTCCTTCAATAACCTTGCTTTCTGTAATAATCAAAGTTCGAAAAGTGAGAGAAGTAAAATTCAACTTTCTTGGCCACTTATATTCTATTTGTATAAGGATGACTGGTCGAAAAGGTCTAGATTGACCACCTCCCTCCAAAATTAAGAATTCACATATTTCTCCGACCCAGAAATAACAATACCCAATAAGTAACAAATCATCCCTGCATTAATAACCCTCTCTCCCAAACGTAACAAATCAGCCCTGCATTAAATGTAGCAAATAACCCCTCTCCCAAACGTAACAAATCACCCCTGCATTAAATGTAGCAAATAACCCCCTCTCCAAAACGTTACAAATCACCCCTGCATTAAACGTAGCAAATAACCCCTCTCTAAGCGTAACAAATCACCCCTGCATTAAACGTAGCAAATAACCCCTCTCCCAAACGTAATAAATCACCCCTGGATCAAATGTAGCAAATAACCCCTCTCCCAAACGTAACAAATCACCCCTGCATTAAATGTAGCAAATAACCCCTCTCCCAAACGTAGCAAATCACCCCTGCATTAAATGCAGCAAATAACCCTCTCTCCCAAACGTTACAAATCACCCCTGCATTAAACGTAGCAAATAACCCCCTCTACCAAACGTAACAAATCACCCCTGCATTAAACGTAGCAAATAACCCCTCTCCCAAACGTAACAAATCACCCCTGCATTAAATGTAGCAAATAACTCCCTCTGCCAAACGTAACAAATCACCCCTGCATTAAACGTAGCAAATAACCCCCTCTCCAAAAACGTAACAAATCACCCCTGCATTAAACGAAGCAAATTACCCCTCCCCAAACAACGGATTACCCTTCTCCAAAACGTAACAAATTACCCCTCCCCTAAACATAACAGATTACCCTTCTCCTAAACGTAGAAAATAACCCCCTCTCCCAAACGTAACAAATCACCCCTGCATTATACGTAGCACATCAATATCATTGACATTGTCCTTAAATCATTACAAAAACAGAAAATTAAAGTTTTGAAGTCATCAAATATTTATCTATTAGCACCCTTAACCAATAATCGTATAAGTCAAAGTCCGCTCGGGTCACCTGGCGTGACACTCCAAGTTCAACATCAGCTGATCGTAAATATTTCATATAACTGTATTCCCTTTTCAATAAGCTCAATGCATAATCTGATATTTTTTATGAATGCACATACATTCTTTATCATCTATAATTTAGCTCCCTTGTGATCTTCCAAGGTTAGTTGGATTATTATAATTTCACACAGGAGCAATCCCTCCATGCGGAGTTTAATTAACACAGCCTCTCCGTCAGTTTTGTCACACAATAACAAACTCGTATGATCTGCGTTATCTGAGTATAAGATGATACAATAATATTAATAACTACAGAATGGCAACGCCACGGAGTAGAAAACCCCAGACAAGAAAAAGCCCAATTTATTTTGATGTACACGTAGTCTTATTTCTTCCAAATCAATCTTTTCGAATATGAGTGTATGTATTTATATTTTAAAACATCTTAAATGTTTCAGAACAAAAAACAAGATATTTTTCTTGTTTATACGGATATCATTGATTTTTATCTCTGATGATCTCAATACAACACCAAATGCCAGACAGTTTACAATGGTGTATAATTTATTATTAACATGTTAACACAAGGAGAAAAATGTGTTCTTATTCATCAAATGGACGAACTGACGGACGGGGACTGCACAACGTCAACGTCCCTACAGAACGCCGACGTTCGTTGATCAGCTGGCTTAATTAATTAATCATTCTAATTAATTAAGATCGATTCACTGCTCAATGGTAAAAATGTGTAAAAATTAGAATAGATTATAGGTCAACCAGTACGAATAATGCATAACTATACATTGCCTTAAACAGCAAAATAAAAGTTGATAAACGGTAGATGGAGCAAACAATGGTATCCGATGAAAGGAAAAGGTGGATATAACTACACAAAAGGAAATAATTGATAAATTCTGTGATTCCTAACGATGGCTAAATTCTTATAAACAATTATTTGTTCCTGAGTCCAAAATGAACAAATTGAAGATAAGAACCGATGTGTTTACAATGTTCTGTCCTTAATCAATGCTATGCCATATCAAACAATAACTGAATAAGGGTCAACATCAAGTATTATTAAATCACAATAACTGTCATATGTAACTGAGCATTTGCTATATAATAATAGAATAGGCCTAGAAGCCTTGAACCTATAGATAGATCAATGTTAATGTTTGTGAATGCTGTCACATTCACAAACAATGCATTAACATGCAAAATGTCACCACCTGCCATTTTACACAGACACCGAACGCAACACGCCAACCATCGTTACAAAAAATGAAGACCATAACAATACATGACCACCAAAACTCAAAATATGATGATATCCAGATTTCAAGTCAAGTGAAAAAGAATATCAGCAAAAAGAAGTTTTTGCATGAATCTGGTTATGAACGGTACCAGCGGGCATAGACTAGATTACACGTACTATTATTAAGTTGACTACTCTTAGAGTCAAAGTCTTGTAAACTAGGCTCTGAGTAGGTAAAATAAGTTTGAAGCTGAAAAGATATGAGACCGAAAGTATCTCTATTATGGCCTCGAATAGAAATGAATGGCAGGTACTTGTAAAAACATAACTCAGTGAATGCGATTTTGATTTGCCACCTAGATTTTTATCAAATGCATTCTCAGTTTCTGATTGGTTCAGGCTAGATGATTAAATGATCATCTCTCATTGTGTAGTTACTCAGAGTGTATAACAAACCAACTATTGGAAAGGGTATAGACCATCACGTCATCCCTGTCTTCCTTAAAGATAACACACAAATCAAACTTCATGATCATTTACCGATAAATCTGGACTTTGATCCGAAACCATGATCTCAACGATCATACAACTAGATTACTATAGACTGTTTAGTCTAATAATAGCTGACGTGCAAGTGACCGATCACGTTTGAAAACAAAACTGAAATTTAGTTCTCGTGTCCTTAGTCCTTTATTACAAACCAATTATTATGAGACAGACGCTAGTAGAAGTACTCAACTTGTAACATTTATCATGTATACTAGTAAGCATTCATATTTATGACGAACACGCAACTCTCCTTCTTTTCATACAAACTCTTTTCAAAAGATACGTCACATATCATTGAAAGTTATAGTTCGTTGACAGTGCATAAATAACTTGCCCACTTGAATTTTAAAGATTATATATAATTAATAAAACTATTATCGAAGGCCTTTACTTTGAAGGATCAGCTGATTCAACTACAAAACAGCTGATTGTACTTAACCTACAGTGTATCACGTTTTTATACCAATACAGTAAAATCTGGATAGAGTGAACGCATTTGGTACCAAAAGGGGTTTACAGTAAAGTCGCGACAGAGAGGATTTATATTATATATAATAAATATTTTCAATTTGGCTCAGCTCCGGTGTTTACTAGAGAAGGGTTTTACTGAATTCATCTTCTGCTATTATGTTAGCAACTTGTGATTGAAAATGACAATAAACTTATAAACGTACATGTACATAGATAACCATTACTAACCCTATTGGTAAAGGGGAACGCAATGAATTATGAAAAGCAACACAGATAGAAAAATAGGTTTTCTCTACATTTGTTTCTATTTCATTTTTATTGCAACCTTTGGGTGCTATATTGTGATCATTTTAATTATAAAGTATAACATGATACTTCCTGTTTATAATTGTACGCCCACACGGAAGGCTATCAAAAGTCAAGGCCATTTTTAACAGTGCTGCCATCTTTTCATTATTAATGTCACTTATGATTATTCTTTGACTAAAACATTTCATCTGAACTTATGACATTCAGGATTTTTATAGTTATCAAATACCTAGATTAAGTTCAAGTTTCTATATTAAATTCTTCCTCGAAATATTTTCGAACAACCCTGACATCTTTAAATGATTTCTAAAATATTTTAAAAAAAAATACTGATTGCCTTTACTTTCACATACATTTGTATCTTGATTCTACATGAACTGAAATCATGAGGTACATGATTTACTGCACATGATACAGTATATAATACATGATTATACGTGCACGTACAGTACATGATAAACAATTAACATACAGTACATGATGTACATACAGTGCATGATAGACATACATTATATGATACCTACATGTATAGAGTACTTAGATGTAGTCAAAGGTATCAGTTATGACTTCTCTCAGAATACAAGCAATAGATACTTTAATCATCCCTCCCACTAGCCTATTTGTGTAAGGGAGTATTGTGACTATGTATTCTCACCCCGTGATATTTACCAAGTCATATAACCTAATATGCATGTACATGGCAAAATATGCCATTTTCATGATTTTTTCATTTCCAAGCAGTGCAGTGCCTTCCTGCTCAAATACTGTGGAGATTATTTCTACACAGTAGATTCGTCCTGTCTTCTACTCTCCTGACTTGAAAGACTAGAATTACTGGAACTACTTGATCTGAGTCTTTGAAATCCTTGTTTTAAGCTCCCTCGATTGTGCAGAAATCGCACCTGTTTATCGCCATCTATATCTATAAGGTTTATACTTTCAGCTGATTTTCCTGAGATTCTAGGCCCAGCTATAACATTATCATTGTCTATGTCATGGATGTGTTGTAGATGTGTTACTGGAACTTGGGTTGGGACTTCATGGTCTCCATTAGCAGATGTCTCAGAATGTGACCTAATGCTGGAAGAAAACAGTTTTGGAAGAATAAGTTAAAATTACACTTTTAAAACTATAAATATAGCCTAAAGATGGGAGTTTGATATTGATACATGATACTGAAGTTTGTCATATTCCCACATGAACCATAGCCATTATGCTTTAAATTGGTAGCCTCCTCCCTTAAATGTAAGTATAGATTCCTTTTTTACATATACTTTTTCCCTTAGTGAGCAACTTTGGCCATTTTGATAAGTTCAAATATAAGGAAAAACTTAATTCCCAGGGCTATAACATGCATTAAATATTGTCTGAGATATGTCATTTAAAGAGGTACATTGAAATAATACATCACACTCTTAAGTATTGATATGGATGGCTTTTCAGTTTACAAATTACAGCATTGTTTCCTGAGATGAACAAGAATCTACATGTATGTGCATTGAACATTTTACTCCATTCTCATACTTCCAAATTCAATAGGTCAACAATACATAGAGTCATGGACATATGGACATATAAAAACAACAGTATATTTGTAACTTACCAGAATATTATTTCACTTAGTAGGTCCATGAATCTTTTATAATTGTTCAAACCAAACTCCTGAAAGTAGAATCAAAATTGAAATGATTAGAGACTATTTCTCCTTTAGGAGACAATGAGAAATATTATTTTGCTATAGGTAGCTATATCCTTTATTGTGAACATGCATGATATTGTCATGTTCTCCATACTTCTCAGTTCTGTATAGACATGTAGGTGGTGTACGAACTTGGCAATAACAAACACATGTGTATTTCCCAAACTCTATGACTCAATTTAAATGAAACGACACCACAAAGTAGCCACCCAAATGTTACGAATTATAAAATTCTCTCTAACACATGTACGAATTCAAAGAAAATCAGATCAGTGGTTTTCCTGGTCTAACTGCAAAAATCTTCGAACATTTTTTTATCTGACATCTATCAGGCTTACCTCCACTCCATATCTGGCATGATTATAACAGGAAGACAGCGCCTCTATAGTTTCAAACTTAGCACCATGAAGCGGTCCAGTGTTCTTCAGTTTCAGTTCTAGAAGAGCTTCTTTGAGAGTGACACTGAGGTTACGCTTCACCTCTGGCTCACACTCACTCAACTCCTCATCTGTGAGAACCAATAAAGAAAATGGATTTGAATTCAATACAATAAGAAAGAAAAGGTAATCCATATAAAAAGATTACAGTGATCAATTGGGGTGTGTTTGATACACATAAAGTGTTCAAGAGCAACCCATCTATGAGTTATGATTTATGATCATGTCATTTTCACACATGTATTTCCTTTTTATATTTTTATCGAATGATTGACAAAAGTTTACATTTACTTCCAAACGTGTACTAAATAATCCAATGAATCTGACCAATAAGTAGCTTATGTAGGAGAGTGTGACTTTGTTTGAAAGAATTTGAGCTTACCAAGGAATGCAATGGCATCAACTGCTTTCATTCTATAAATATAGGTACATCTTCCTGTAAATGTAAAGAACATAGTACAGTGCATTAAATATTTAATTATTAAATACGACATAACATTATTGATTCGGCAGATTATACACAAGTTAATAAACATTAATTATTTGGCAGATTACATTTTTTTTCAGATCAATACTATTAGACTTTTGATTGGACTCATTTTTAAAAAAGGAAAGGATGCAGTCATTTCATTTCATTTCATACGTTAGGGATGGGATGGTCAGGCAGGCCCGTAGCCAGGGGGCGGGGGGTTTGCAAGGTTCGGGCGAAACCCCCATGGCCAAAAATTATTTCAAAATCATGCAGTTTTTCACCATTTTGAGCACTTCTCAAGTGATTTTAGCCATATTTGTGCAAAAATTGTCAATTGTGACCCCTCCTGGAAATTTTGGAAAACTGACCCCCCCCCCTTCGCAAATCCTGGGTACAGGCCTGTCAGGTGTATAAAGTAATTAAAGTTATTATCTTATACTCTACCATTTTTGATGTCATCTTGAAGGGATTCTTCTAACTTGTGCGAGAATGCCTTAGGCTCAAAGCAGATATTAGGAATACGATTTAAACGCCTTTCAATCTCATTTTTCAGTGACTGGAATACAGAGAGAGGCTACATTTAATATTACAACAATATATCAACTTGATACAACAAAATTAATTCTTTTTTTCATTGTTGGAATTCATTATGGGGAAAGTAAGTGAGTAATGAAAAGCAAGTACTGAAATAAATAATACAAAAAAGTACTTGGAAAAAGAATACACAGTTATATTACCTTTGGTGCTCCAGTGCCTAGGCCAATGTAGGGGACCTTGGCAGACCTTAGGGTGAAACGGCTGATTTGTCTCTTTACAAACAGGAAGACCAATAGGAAGAACTAAAACAAAAATTGCAAAACAATTAATATCTATTTAAATGAGATGTGATCTATACAATTCTAAAACAAGGCATTAACATGCAAAATGTCACAACCTGCCATTTGTTACAGATATCAAACTAAGTTGGAGACTATAACAATATGTCACCCTTGTGGTAGTTACATGATAATCAGTGGAAGGATTTTATCCTGCTGCTGTTAAAACAGTGCGATAAATAGGTGCTGAACCCATATGAGATCTTTTGAATATTAGTTTTCAGATGATATAAAAGAGGTAACAAGAGTCACATTGGCGTGTTACTTTATAAAAAATGCTTCAAACTTTTTTTATAAATTAGGAAATTAACCTTACCAATGCTCCACAAGCAATAAACAATACAACACTCTTTAGTGGGAGCTGGATCTCGGCTTCTGTACTCATAGTCACGTGATTTTAAACATCACTCAGCTTTTTCTGCAAGATAATAAAGACAATGTCTCTAGTCACTGTTTGAAACTCACAGCAGCCTGAATGCCAGTGGCAGCCAGCCGGTTTTTACTCTGGGTGATAAATTTGTGAAATCTAGATTGCAATATATTTTAGGAAAGGTAGTATGACCGAAGGCCAATAAGGAACTTGATTTAAATTCAAGAAATGTGTGTGAGAAGAACTCTTGATCGGGCAGTCCTGTGATTTGCAAAGTATGACCAAACACTCCCCAAAAAAACTGAAGCTATAGGTACATGTAGATTGTATTTTCATTTTACGATGAGTGTGTTGGAATGAATGAAATGGACACAAGTTGCACTGTACATTTGGGAACAAAAATAAATGACAGGTCGATTTTCGATCACCATTTCCTAATCATGGTCGTCTGAGAGCCCATAATTTCCAATATTGTCTAGATACATATCCCTAAAATTTGTATATTTTACATTTTGAATAATCCCATCCACTGATGTATTGCCTCTTGAAAATTCTCTTATTTTTAACATGGGAAATCCTCACTCCAGCAAATCCACATCTTACTTAGTTTACACAAAGCTATCTCCTGAGAGATAGCTTTGCAAAACTCGATATTCCCAGCCTATGTTAAAGGTCTTTTTCAGAAATGTTAGAAATCGTGGGAACACTTACACTACTTCAATTGATGTATAACATCATAAAGTATCGTTGTAATAATCGTAGAACGCTAACTGGAGTCGGGAGACAGTGTAATTGACGAAAAATGTATTTGGAACTTGTTATTTTCCATGTCATCTGACCAGGAAGTCTTGCCAATGCACATGCGTGTAACTGGAAGCGGAAATCTCATGGCATGGAAGCGCATGCACATTATCCAACTTCCTGAGAAGCCATCTTGAAAATTATCATCTCTTCAACATTTTTTCAACATTTTTCGTCAATTACACTGTCTCCCGACTCCAGTTAGCGTTCTCCGATTATTACAACAATATGTTATGATGTTATACAGGGATTGAAGTAGTGTAAGTGTTCCCACGATTTCTAACATTTCTGAAAAAGACCTTTAACATGGGCTGGGAATACCTAGTTTTGCATAGCCATCTATCTAAAGATGGCTATGTTAATCCACATCGTGTCATTTATCTATGTTCCAAACTGTAAGTCATAGGTAAAAAGGCAACACATTTGTTAGCAAAATCTCAAACTAAACAAACAAAAATTTCAAATTTTAAGAGTTAATGTACTTCTCCATCTAATATAATGTTTGATCAGAGACTTGGTCTGAGTGACAGTCACAACAAAAATTTAAAAAATTCAAATTTTATTTGATCAGTTGAAAGAAATGAAAGAAATGAAGAACAAGAAGAACCACGGAATTGTGTCTAGCTGTACAGTTACTTGAGATTGAAGAATCATTTACCTGATACAATTCAAGGCATGCAGACTATATTGCCCGTAAATAGATTTAGTCTACAAATATTAAAAATTTATCAAATTATTTTGAGAGCTCTTTAATTTTCATGAACCGCCTGATATTTATTTGGCCAATTTCTAAACGAAATTATGGCTTGCCAATCGGGCTTTTTCTGTGATTGCTGGACTATGCCAAGGTCGAGGTTTTGTTTATCAGTAGATTTTATTAGCCTAGTATAATAGCACCATAAATGATGGTACTTGGCTTCTTAAGGAAATGTCGACTTCGCTTTCACCTGCTAAACCTTATTCTTCACAGTCGAGTAACCAGGTGTAACAGTTTGGCCTTTTTTGTGGATATGTGGTAGTGTGGCTAATAAAAAAGACCACTGTTTAGTAAATGGTGTTTACTTGTGGATTGTACGGCACACATTAAATGTGCTTTGTCCCTAAAGAATTAAACAGAATATATAATTTCATATATATAATATAAAACAATATATTGTGGCGTTTATAAGCCCAAATAAAAGTACATCAAATTTCAAATATGTAATGGAATTATTTTGTTGAATATATTCTCCAGAGTCCATATAATGAAATAAATTATCACTGTATCACTAATGTTGTATATAATATCCAGAGTTCATATAGTCAAAGAACAATTCTCTGCATTATCACTTGTCATATATCTGAAAAGTCCCTGTATCATTAATGATCACTGTTGAAACTTGTCACACTATTGTTATCCGCCCTATAAAATGTTCATATATGATTGTAAGTCTTGTATCTTCTATTTGTGGGAAACAGCTATCTTTACACAAAATTCAAAGTGTTCATGCTGAAGCCTAGGGTAGATTCTAAAGCAGGAACTGTTGTAGGTGGTATTCGAACTGATGAAACAGAGACTTCTTCGTCCTTTATTCTCATACACACACGGGAACATATGACGATCATGAAGCATATAAGTACAAATACTATCCCACCTAAGACCAATATAATAAAAGGAACATCCAATTCCATACACCTTAAACTCAGCAATTGCCTTGGGTCTTACTTGGGTCTTACAACGGGCTCTGTAAACTTCTAAGTCCTCCCAATTGAAAAAAGCCTATGGAAAATCATCTCCAATTATCACCTAACTTACTATTGATAATTAGTTGAAAGTTAGGTGTAAAAATTCACATGCAAATGAGCTAATTATCAACTTAATTAACGCTTAATTTACAACTTAATTAACGATTAACTATCATCAATATGCAAATGAGCTATTTACGTAAATTAGTTGAAAGTTAGTTGTAAGTTTGATGTAAGTTAATCTCTAATTATCACCTAACTTACTATTGATAATTAGTTGAAAGTTAGGTTTAAGTCAGATTTGTGACATCTCAAAAATGACTCGCTTCTTTTTTGTTTCTCTTCACTCGGAGATTTTTGCTTCATCTTGAACTATTTTGTGACGGAATATTCATCTTAATTAGGATCTTTCAGAACAGACAACATTGAACTTGAACTATTGAAATTTCACAGCAAGAGGAGGGAAAACCCCATGATTCAATTGATGACATACGATTTCCTCCTTCGCACACCTCCTTTTGTTGAAAACGTACCCTTCATCTTGGTTTTCAAAGTTTTCAAATTGACCTAGTTTTAAACCAATCAACGATCGACTCGCTAAACCAATCAGCGACGATGTCATCTCAATACAGATTTACATTATAAGCGTATGTCATCTTTGAACCCTGGGGTTTCTCCCCCTCTTTTTTAATTTAAAGCTATTCTATTTTGCAATTCTTTAAGATTCATGAAAAGCATGTGAAAACATCATTATTGCCATCAACAACTAAAATCAGAACACAAACATTAGACTATAATGTTACATAATAAGGACGTAACAGATATAATCAAAAATATGTCTTTGATCTAACAATCATTATGTAGAAGAGCACATTTGGATTACTTGTGAAATATAGGTAACCCATGTTAGTATCTAAATTGCATTCTAGGATTAATATTATATGATCTGATTCAAAAAGATTTTTAAATTCATAAACATTTCAGACAGAAGTGTGAATAAGATTTACATACATTGTATTCATGTTCTACATACCCTTATAATAATGTTGACCAAATTTCATGGTAGTATACGCACCATTCACGTTGTAATTCTCAATTTTTTGAGAGAAATATCTCTCACATGTTTTCTTTTTCCACCATCTTGAAATTAAATTTAGGGGGTTTGTATTTCTAAATCATGGGCCTAATTTACGACTAATTATCATTATAATCATCCTATATGTTAACTATCAACCAATAATCTACTTCAGAACAAAAACGTTTTAATTTACCACTTACTATCACCCTCTAACATTTCATATCTTAATTATCAACTAAAAATCATAAATCAGCATTATTGTAAGTTAATTTACGTTGAACTTGCTACTGATAATTGGGCCATAATTATCATTGATTTAATTAACGCTTAACTTTAATTCCAATTGCCAGCAGAATTGTTGATAATTAGTTGTAAATTAGTTGGTAATAAGTTGGTAATTAGTTTTATTTTTCAATTGGGCTGTATCCTCTGCTCTGGTTCTCCAACTGGTGTATGTTTAAACTTCAGTGATGTGAAATCACCAAAGTCAAAACAACAGGCTCTGTAAACTCCTAAGTCCTGTATCCTCTCTGCTCTGGTTCTCCAACTGGGTGTATGTTTAAACTTCAGTGATGTGAAATCACCAAAGTCAAAACAACAGGCTCTGTAAAACTCCTAAGTCCTGTATCCTCGGCTCTGGTTCTCCAACTGGTGTATGTTTAAACTTCAGTGATGTGAAATCACCAAAGTCAAAACAACAAGCTCTGTAAAACTCCTAAGTCCTGTATCCTCGGCTCTGGTTCTCCAACTGGTGTATGTTTAAACTTCAGTGATGTGAAATCACCAAAGTCAAAACAACAAGCTCTGTAAAACTCCTAAGTCCTGTATCCTCTCTGCTCTGGTTCTCCAACTGGGTGTATGTTTAAACTTCAGTGATGTGAAATCACCAAAGTCAAAACAACAGGCTCTGTAAAACTCCTAAGTCCTGTATCCTCGCTCTGGTTCTCCAACTGGTGTATGTTTAAACTCCAGTGATGTGAAATCACCAAAGTCAAAACAACAAGCTCTGTAAAACTCCTAAGTCCTGTATCCTCTCTGCTCTGGTTCTCCAACTGGGTGTATGTTTAAACTTCAGTGATGTGAAATCACCAAAGTCAAAACAACAGGCTCTGTAAAACTCCTAAGTCCTGTATCCTCGGCTCTGGTTCTCCAACTGGTGTATGTTTAAACTTCAGTGATGTGAAATCACCAAAGTCAAAACAACAGGCTCTGTAAAACTCCTAAGTCCTGTATCCTCGGCTCTGGTTCTCCAACTGGTGTATGTTTAAACTTCAGTGATGTGAAATCACCAAAGTCAAAACAACAGGCTCTGTAATCTGCTGACTTGTATCTTCACTGGTAGTTGTCACTGTCAGCTCAAGCTGCAAATCAGCCCAGTCCCCAACTTCGGATGTCTTCTTCAGATTAATGTTCTACAAAACTAACTCAAAACATTAAATGCAAGTGTATAAAAATATTCTAAGTCAGTTATACTTCACAACAAAATGTCAAAGTCAAATTATTGTCCAAAGTCAAAACAACAGGCTCTGTAAAACTCCTAAGTCCTGTATCCTCGCTCTGGTTCTCCAACTGGTGTATGTTTAAACTCCAGTGATGTGAAATCACCAAAGTCAAAACAACAAGCTCTGTAAAACTCCTAAGTCCTGTATCCTCTCTGCTCTGGTTCTCCAACTGGGTGTATGTTTAAACTTCAGTGATGTGAAATCACCAAAGTCAAAACAACAGGCTCTGTAAAACTCCTAAGTCCTGTATCCTCGGCTCTGGTTCTCCAACTGGTGTATGTTTAAACTTCAGTGATGTGAAATCACCAAAGTCAAAACAACAGGCTCTGTAAAACTCCTAAGTCCTGTATCCTCGGCTCTGGTTCTCCAACTGGTGTATGTTTAAACTTCAGTGATGTGAAATCACCAAAGTCAAAACAACAGGCTCTGTAATCTGCTGACTTGTATCTTCACTGGTAGTTGTCACTGTCAGCTCAAGCTGCAAATCAGCCCAGTCCCCAACTTCGGATGTCTTCTTCAGATTAATGTTCTACAAAACTAACTCAAAACATTAAATGCAAGTGTATAAAAATATTCTAAGTCAGTTATACTTCACAACAAAATGTCAAAGTCAAATTATTTCTCCCTTAAAAATGACTAAGTTCTTCTATTCTCAATCTCAGATAAAAGTAAGGATATTCTAAGTCCCAGTTATCTTTCAATTCAAAATGACAAAGTAAAATTATTTCTTCCTCAAAAATGACTAAGTCCAAGTTTCTTGAATAAATGTAGAAATATTCTAAGTTCCAGTTATCATTCACATCAAACTGACAAAGTAAAATTATTTCTTCCTCAAAAATAACTAAGTCCCAGTTTACCAATCTTGGGAAGATGTATATTCAATCTTCTTTGTTTGTGTGTCAATGATTTTCTGGAATCTGAATTCTCCTATATTGTCTTCTCTCTGTAGATGTATATTCTAACTTTAAAGATGCGAAATCACCAAAGTAAAAATATCCCGTGGAATAAACTGCTAAGTCCTGGAACTTCCTCTCTGTAGATGTATATCTTAACTTTAATGATGCGAAATCACCAAAGTAAAAATATCTCGTTGAATAAACTGCTAAGTCCTGGAACTTCCTCTCTGTAGATGTATATCTTAACTTTAATGATGCGAAATCACAAAAGTAAAAATATCTCGCTGGTTAATCTGCTAAATCCTGGAACGTCTCCTCTGTAGATGTATATTTTAACTTTAATGATGCGAAATCACCAAAGTAAAAATATATCGTTGAATAAACTGCTAAATCCTGGAACTTCCTCTCTGTAGATGTATATTTTAACTTTAATGATGCGAAATCACCAAAGTAAAAATATCCCGTGGAATAAACTGCTAAGTCCTGGAATTTCCTCTCTGTAGATGTATATCTTAACTTTAATGATGCGAAATCACCAAAATAAAAATATCTCGCTGGTTAATCTGCTAAATCC